AAAAAAAAAAAAAAAAAAATCTATTTATTGAGGAAGACGAACAAAATTCCACTTCGTTTAGACGAACACGAAAGCGACTAGGACGCAGGGCGGAGATCACCGCTGCAGATATTTAGTGATCACAATCGGTGCCGTTCAAGTAGGAAAGTATTTGATTGAGGAGCGAAGATTTTTCTGGATCGAGCAGGACGCAATTGCGAGTTCAACTTCATTTCAAACCTAAGTTGCCCACGCATTTGATCTGTTAAAGTTGGATAGTTAGGTTTTGTTGAAACCCTAGGACATTCAATGTTTTTCCCTTGTGAAATTTTTGGATTTGGGGTTGCTAAGTGTGCTCGTATGTGATGCAGAGGAGATTGGAAGCAGGAAACAATCGATTATGTCGATAGATTTGATTTTGAAACCGTCGTGCGGCGGCTGTGGATCGACCGTGGAGCTTTATGGCAGCACCTGTAAGCACCTCACGCTTTGCGTGAATTGTGGCAAAACTATGGCGGAGAATCGTGTCAAGTGCTACGAGTGCGGGACCGTCATAACTCGCCTGATAAGGGTTCGTGATCTTTGATCATTTTGAACTTCGTTTTTATGTCTAAATCGCTGTTGGATAACAATTTGTAGCTTACCAGCTTAAATTTGATATCTTCTGGCATAAAAGGCTTAGTTTTGTAAAATCAATTTGGACCTGTTAACTAATCACTTTACTCTCTCTCTCTCTCTCTCTATCTCTGTGCGTGTGTGTGTCTGTGTGTTTGATGAGCCAAATGTTTATGACCGACGTAGTCACATTTATGTATACCGAGTCCCGACGATAAACATTTGATAAATTTTGAAAATGCTACATAAATTCTAATGGTAAGGATCAAAGTAACGGTTTACGGAATATCTTAATATCTTTGTACCCGTGCTTAGAATAGCAAGTTGGTTGAGAGGTTGAGTAGCCACCCAGTTGGTGCGTTCATGGTGCTTAATATAACAAGATTAATACCTTCTTTTGCTTGTTTACTACAGCTATATGTCTCACTTCTTTAGGCTGCTCACGGTAGCACTTCGAGCAATGAACAAACCTTTACTTTATGAGTTATAGTTGCCATTGTCAGAATTCAAGTTTTGATGACATCTTTTCAAATTCGTAATAGATTCTTACGACTGAAACATTGTATATGTTTGAGATCATTAATAGATTCTTCATTCTTATTACTGAATTATATTTCAAATTTCATGCTGATTTTTTATGCAATTTCCTCCTTTTGATGTGCTCAAATTCGCCATTATTGTTTTGTGTAGGAGTATAATGTTCGGGCGTGTTCCAGTAGCGACAAAAATTATTTTATTGCAAGATTTGCCTCAGGATTGCCGAACTTTAAGAAGAAAAATGAAAATAAATGGTCGATGCAAAAAGAAGGTCTGCAGGGGCGCCAAGTTACTGATACCTTGAGGGTAATTCACTAACCGATATGTGCAGCTCTTATTTTTGGCAATTTCCCAAATTCCGAGTATGTTTATTATAAAGCAGACCAGGCACGGCAGATGTGATAATTCTCTAGTCAGTTTTGATTCTCACTATTGATTTCATGTTGGAGTTTCATCAGATAGTTCTTATGAGTAGAGATCTAATTATAACAAGTCTGACACATTAGAATGTTACTGTCATGGAACTTTCTGCTAGACATGAATCCTTATTTATTGAATCATTTCAGGAAGCGAATGAAACTGTAGTAAAAGTAGTTTTTAAAACTTGCTTTAGTGAATAATGATAGCAACATAACAGTCTGATCGTCGATTTATAATATTTATGGATGATTAGCTTTATGTTGCTTCTCAGTAATTCTCGTTTCAAATTTCTAGCTGCTTTCTAACATCATATGGTTTCATGCGTAGGAGAAGTACAAGAATAAACCTTGGCTGCTCGAAGACGAAACAGGCCAGTTTCAATATCATGGGCCGCTTGAGGGTTCACAATCAGCGACATATTACCTTTTAATGCTTCAAGGGAAGGAATTTGTTGCTATTCCTGCTGGTTCCTGGTAATCGGTGTTCCTGGCAGTCATCTTAATTGACTTTGCATATTTGAGTCACACTCGGTTGATTATAGGTACAATTTTAACAAAGTGGCACAATATAAGCAACTGACTTTGGAGGAAGCAGAAGAAAAGATGAAGAATAGAAGGAAAACTGCTGATGGTTATGAGAGGTGGATGATGAAGGCAGCAAACAACGGACCAGCAGCGTTTGGTGAAGTTGAAAAGTTAGATGATCGGGAAACTGCAGCTGGTGGCGGGAGGGGACGTAAAAAGACCTCTGGGGATGAGGATGAGGCCAATCTTTCAGATAAGGGTGATGAGGATGAAGAAGAAGAGGCAGCAAGAAAGAGTAGACTAAATCTCAATAAGAAACGTGGGGATGATGATGAAGAAGGTCCTAGAGGCGGTGATCTTGACTTTGATGATGATGATATTGAGAAGGGTAAAAACTCATCTACTTTGCTAATGTTTGACTTTGCTTGAAGGTTTTGGCAGTTGAACTATTTGATTGGGGTTCTGAAGTGCCACATCTAATTTTAAAATTGTTTTTATCAACGACATTTTTATTTCAACTTCCTTCCTTCACTCATTTAAGCCTGTTATGCTGTAACATATTTCCTGTGATGGATTATATTGAGTCACATTTTATTTCTTATGGTTCTTGTGCAGCTCCACTTTATGTATATGACAATATGTTCCAGAAGCACAACAATTTTGCGAGAATAAAACTTTTAGCTTTTAAGTGAAGTAATAATTTGACAAAAAGATGATCCTTGACCAAATATTGTTGAAGTTCCTTAAAGCTTTCTTTTTTAACTCTCATGCTGACCTCTATGTCAAGTCAAATGGCTTTTGTAATTATGACACAGAAGTAGTAACTTTCGCATTAAAAATTCATTTTGTTTCTTTCTAATTGTTTTCCATTTTGTCCAGGCGATGATTGGGAGCATGAAGAAATCTTTACTGATGATGATGAAGCAGTTGGAAATGATCCTGAGGAACGGGAAGATTTGGCCCCTGAAATTCCTGCTCCTCCAGAAATTAAGCAGGTATTTGTTTTCACATTATCAGTACTATGCACACAATACATGTCAATTGTTAAATTTAAGGTTATGTTAGAAACTATTTTCAAGGCCTAGCAAGGAATCAGTCCCAAAGCATTCTATTCTTTCATAAGCAGAGGTCGGGGGCGGAAGTCTATCTTCAGAAATTTCAAACAACCTCTAGAGATTAGTATTTACTTAGCATTCTGTTTCTTGATATTGCCTCTGTACAACAATGTAATGTAGTAAAAATAGTTGGGATTCTTTGTCTTTAGAATGATAAAGTAAAGCATGAAAAGGAGAATACCGTGGTGATTTAGAACTCTGGGAAAATAACCTGAAAAGATCAATATTTCTTATTGGTTATCTTTCTCTCTGAAAGAAAATTCTGGTGCCTGGTGATGTGTATTATCTTTGTCCTGTTCATCTTCAGTAGGAAAATAAAATGATTCCTTACTGGATTTTATAGTTGTAATACTGCATCCATTTGGAAATTTTATTCTTGTGAGAATGTGTGTTCGTATTGTAGTATTGTCATCCTGTAAGCATTCCATTTATTTTAGGATGATGAGGATGAGGATGAAGGTGAAGAAGAAGAGGGAGGGTTGAGCAAATCTGGAAAGGAGTTGAAGAAATTGCTTGGGCGAGCTAATGGGCTAAATGATTCAGATGCTGAGGATGACGACGACGATGATGATGTATGTTTTCTGATCCCAGTTTTTCAATGTTGGAGAATTTATGAATATTATGTTTTCTTCTGGGTGATTTGAATTTTAAAACATTTTGAGAGGCATTAGAAAATGTCAAGAGGCTCAGAATTGTGATTAACTTAAGGTTTACATAGGCCCCGGAAATGATGTTACAAATACTGTTCTTAAGCCTTTTGATGGTTTCTACTGGCGAATATACTAGAAGACTGGATTTTCTTGCTTATGTAATCAAGAATTTGAAACAACTTTTGAAATTGATTTGGAAAGAGTAAAATTTTCTTTTCTTTTGTTAGACGGAAGACGATATCTCTCCTGTACTTGCCCCAAAGAAGGAAACACCTAAAGAAGAGCCAGTTGATAACACCAGTCCCCTGAAATCAACTACTTCTGCTGCTGGTCGTGGAACACCATCTACGTCAAAGTCTTCTAAGGGCAAAAGAAAAAGTAATGGCGAGGAATCAAAGACAACCAATAACGCCCCTACAAAGAAAGTGAAAACAGAACAAGTGAGTGATTTTGTAGGCTATTATTGACATTTTCATTTATTGTAAAATTTTTCCGTTGTTCCTTTTAAAGTAAATTGTTCCTATTTTCATCTTATTCTGTAAAACTTTTCATTGAGTATCCAGGATGTAAAGCCTGTCAAAGAAGAGCCTACTTCTACAAAAAGCAGTGTACCTACTAAAGGCGTATCACCACAAGTATCATCAAAAAGTGGGTCAGCACTGTCTACTGGGCCAGTCTCTGAAGAGGAAATCAGGGTTGTGCTTATGCAGAAGAAACCAGTAACAACACAGGATCTCGTAGCCAAATTCAAATCTCGACTAAAATTGAAAGAGGTGAGCAATTTTGTTTGATAAAGAGGTGGTTTGACAACTTCTTATTGACAATGACTCGATGTTGATAGTTGCATTATTATCTTCTCTCTCATTTTTATCTTCATATTAGTGGAGTGAGTTTAAGTCCGATATCATTGTTGGTGATTGGGAAGAGGTAGTGTGTTTTTTTTCAGATTTTGTTGGTTCAAGTTATAGGGATGGTATTCAGAACCCATTACATGCGCTTAAGAATCTTATTGCTACCACTAGAAGATGTATTGTTTACCATGCTTTTAGAGAAGCTTACTTTCCAGTGTAACCAATTTGCGACTCGCTGTTTCGGTTCCATTTGTTAGATTATTGTGATGGAAATCATCAGGCAGGGATTACATGTTAGTCTCATTATTGGCCAGGGATAATTCTATTACCCGTCTTTCTTTACCCATGTCACCCTCCATTAATGACTGCAACAAAATGCTGATCGTACATTTATTCGTGTGATCCATTTTCTCTCTGTTGCTAAACTCTTAACATAAACGATCAAGTCCTATTTGTTGATGGCAATCGACTTGTTTTCAACATTTGATTTGCATTTTATTGCCTAATATTGTAGGTTGGCTCAATTATATTTTAACCAATTTAATCATGACTGCACTTTGAGGTAATAGTATCCTTTTTTTTTTCTTTTGGTTTTCAGGACAAGGATGCCTTTGCAGCTATATTAAGAAGGATATCAAAGATTCAGAAGACAAATGGGGCCAACTATGTTGTCCTCAGAGAGAGATAGTTGGTTCATCTTTGACTAGTGTAACTTAAAATACACTTCTTTTAATGGAACTCTCGGGATGAAATTTGGAGTTGAATGTCACGTCTCAACCTGGAAATGAGTTGTACTATTTGTGCATTGTAAACACTGCCGACTTGATATAACTGTGCATGACATCTGAACTGCGGCGGCCCTCTAGCGATGATGAGGGATATACTTCCAACGAGTTCAAATGCAATTGCAATAACGTTTAGTACAAGGCAGTTTTCTTATGGAGAAATTTAAAGACTCGTTCACATAATTTCAATGTGAATGACAAAAGGTTTTCATTACTCTACATGGCCAATGCATCTACTGTAATTGCTTTGCTTCATTTTAACTTTACGTTCTATCTAGTGAGAGTACATTGCTTCATTTTAACCTTACCTTTTATCTAGTGATCCCCCAACGCCCCTTTATAAGGTGTGTAGAATCGATGCCACGTTTGCCTTCTAAAACCATTCACAATTGCTTGCAATCAAAATGTAGTTTAATCCCTATTTGTATTAGTATTCATATTTCCATTAGATTCAACATAACTCCAATCGGTCTACTTCTATCGATAAACAATCACAGCCATTCGATTTCTTCAACACTTTCTTCAGGTATGGTACTTTTTGAAGATACAGAGGTTTAAGCTCGCTCCTCTTCCTGAAAGAGCTATCCAACAGAATACATATTCAAATTCTAACGAAGTGATGTAGCGCAGCAATTAAACGAAAGGGAACAAGATGAGAAAACTCAATCGATAAATTTTATTCTTCAAAGTCCACTATCTTTCAAGAGGAAAAGACAATATATAGAGACCTATCAAACCTAAATCCTTAATTTCCTAAATAAATTAAA